GGGGGGGTGCCAATATTGTGTTAGTGTTAAGTTGGACATCGTAATAAGTGGTGGGAAATAAATATCAAATAAAGTTTTAAATGACTCTGTGTAAGTTTATATTTTAAAAACAATAGTTCTGACAGGGGCACGTGGGTGGCTCAGTGGATTAAGCATCTGCCTCTTGATTTCGGCTCAGGTCATGATCTCGCAGTCTGTGAGTGCAAGCCCCATGTCGGGCTCTGCGCTGGCAGTGTGGACCCTACTTGGGATTCTCTCTCTCTCCCTCTCAAATAAACTTAAAAAACAAAATACAAATAAGAAAAAAACAATAGTTCTGGAGGAATATAACTGAGAACCCATTTTATTTTTTTTCAACGTTTATTTATTTTTTGGGACAGAGAGAGACAGAGCACGAATGGGGGAGGGGCAGAGAGAGAGGGAGACACAGAATCAGAAACAGGCTCCAGGCTCTGAGCCATCAGCCCAGAGCCTGACGCGGGGCTCGAACTCACGGACCGTGAGATCGTGACCTGGCTGAAGTCGGACGCTTAACCGACTGCGCCACCCAGACGCCCCTGAGAACCCATTTTAATCAGAAAATTTAAGTTATGTGCATGTCACAAAACTCCCAGATGTTTTATGATTTCCTCACTCTTGAGTAAAAACTACATCTTTACTCTTCCAAGCATGGCATTTTAGAAATAACTGATAAAAGTACCAGATAACAAAAGCCAAGAAAGCTGTTTAGCAGTTGGTGAAACTAGAACTCAAAGAACGTTCATTTTCCTCACTCTTAGTAATTCAGGGGTGACTCAGGGATCTGATATAAAATAATTCCCTAAATGGTTTTATAGGGCATCGCCCCCCATCCAGAGTTGGGGAATTGAGATTAAAATCCATGGCTTTGTTTTGATTTTTTTTTGGAGGGGGTGGCCTCCCTCTCTCTCTCCCTCTCTCTCTCTCTGTTTCTAACAGATGATCCTTATCAGAGCTAACCTTTTAAGTAGGTCCCAATAGCCACAATTTCTTTCACACTGCCTATTGTGGTTCCAGGAATGTTACTATGGAAGACTTCATTTCTCTGGAGAGGGTCCCAAATGGGGAAAAGCTTGGGGTACATGAAAAACAAATTCTGTATACTTCCCAATTTTGCTCAGGGTGAGCCCTGACCCGAGACTTCGAATAAACAACCATAATAATACGCTACAAAGCAGGAAAACAAAGTCACAAACGTAGGTATAACCGAAATGTGCAATGGTAAGTCTTTGTCTTTGACGTTGAAAGTGCCAGAAAACATTTAACACTGGCATACCCACCGAAGGTAGCAAATTTGGGTTAGAAGGATTTCTGCATCTCAGGTCAGGAATCCATCTCTCTTTTTGTCAAAAGGAGTTCCTTTTATTTCCACTGTATGTTGAGATTACAGGAAGCAGGGACAGGAAAACTCCTGAAGAGAGCGAACTTGAAGAGGTCATTAAAAAATATGGATATAGTTTGGTACAGGCCAGTAATTTTCCAGAGTTCCTTAGCCAGGTAGGAGATTTCTCCGGCTGAGAAGTCTGCTTTTACAAATTAATGTATTCTTATCCACCAAGAAGGCCATGACCTATTAGGCCAAGAGCGTAGCACAGATCGCCCCTAAAAAGATGAAGAAGACGTTCAGAGAGAAGCTGGCTGTCTGGGTCCTGAGAACTGGCTCAGCTTCCTGGGTCCAGCAGCTTCTTCCTGGTTCCCTCGTGAGACCCCGCTACATTCCCATCTTGGAACTTCAGGAGCTATCCTCCTCCTAATCATAGATCGGTATTTTTTGCTTGTTACCTTGAGTGTTTCTATGACTTGCCAAAAAAACTTGAAAAAGACGGGTCACAAACACAGAGATGCTTACAGATTCCCTCAGTTACCAGGGAGTCAATTCTACAGGCACACAGGGAACTAAGAACCAGGAACCAGGCCTCATAGAGACAACAGCGTGGTTAAAACGAAACAAGACAACGGTCAGGTCTCATGGTCGAACAGAAGGCCACTGTAGGTACAAGGGTGCGTGCCTGCCAACACCACTGCTCCACTATCGCGGTCACCCGGTGAGCCTGTGTCACTGCCTCAGCTTCTCCTCCCGCTCCTGGGGAACTTCACAGCAGGCCCCTGTGCCATCACCTTCCCTGTGTGGGCCTCCCGCCCCCCATGTTACTCTGACCGTGTCCCTGCCCGTTCCGGACTCGTTCCTGTCCCTGGGAGAGGTTGTTATTGGCTCATACGGCCAAATTCGGTCTAGAATGCAGGGCTCCCCTGCCAGGTCACCGGGCAGCCTGGGGGCCATGCTGGCTGGGTCACAGCGGACCCAGGCCTAAGGGACCATTTTGGCCACCTGTTCAGAGGGGCCCATGGATACAGCAGGCATCCAGAGGGTCACGTGCGGTAGCAGGGCTGTGTAGCATATTATCACCTATGCTGTGAGCTCAGGAATGAAATCGGACCCCAATAACACATTGCTGAAAACAGCTGTACACTATTTTGGGATCCAGGAAGAAATACTTAGCAACGCTTAAATAAGTGAGCCTAATAAAACTCATGTTGTCTATATCATAAAAACACAAGCGACTCCAGTTCTCCGATGGTCCCCAACAGCACGAGAACTTCATGAAAAAGAAATGTAACTGGAAAACAAAAAACAAAAAACAAAAAACAACCCACCCTAACCCAAGCTACTGTTTAAAAATCACCGTTTATGGTTGAAACCATGTCCTCACAGCTGGTATTTGGGGAGTTAGGATTTTGTAGAGCCCATGCGCAACTGCTATATTTAGAATCAAAAGGTCACTGGAAGAGCAGAAATAATTTCTTCTGGTAAGCTTTTCCCCACCCTCAGGTCTGGTTTATAAAATTTTATGTGTACACATAATGAGTATTGCTGTTGTTCTTAAAGGAATTAATAAAAACTTTTAAATGGTTGCTTTTCGTGCAACAAATACTGATAAGAATCATCTACATAAACAAGGGTGTCTCTCTCGATTTGAGCCTGTCTTGTTGACTGCTGGCTCGCCAGAGCCTAGCAGTCCCTGGTGCCTAGTGGCTCAACAAGTATCTACCCAATAAGAATAGAGAGAGAGAGAGAAAGAGAGAGAGAGAGAGCGCGCTCTTTATTTTCTACGGTAAATATGTCATTTCTGCGAAAAAGCTGTACGGAGGAAAAAACATTCTGTGCTTTTCTAACAGGCAAAAAACAAAACAAAACAGAACAACGAAGTTAGTGGGCCAGTAAAGTTGGTGCTTACACTTGGCTGTTTAAGGTTTGGAGCTGAGCATCTCTGAATCCCGGTGGACAAGGGGCAGGGATCTACTCCCCGCCTTCCCTTTCCATAGAGTCGACCTCCAGCCTGGGAAGGTACCGGAGAGATTAAAGGAGGGGCCTGAGGCTGGGAAAAGAAGGTTGGTCCCCATCCATCGTACGTTCGTACGTTCGTTCGTTCGTTCATTCATTCATTCGCTCACTCATTCAATACGCACTAGACACCACACCCCGTGCTAGGATAGCTTAGGCTACGAAGATGAACCAGAGCCGGCGTCGATCCCGGGGAAATCATAAAGAAACGAGCCAAAGCCACGTTTCCCACGCGGAAGAGGGGAAGGAGGCCCGTCTTCTTGGCAGCAACGCAGAGCCGCCCCGCCCGCCCCATCCACTCTCCCAAGATGGCGCCCGCCGAGGGGGGACGTTCCCACGCCTCCTGCTACCGCCCGCCGCGGCCCCCGCGGAGCCCGAGGTCCCGAGGCGCTGCGGCCCCCCGCGGTCCCCGCGCCGCCAGCCCAGGAGGCCCGGGTGGGCGGCGGGGCGGGACGGCTGCGCGCCTGACGCCCCGCCTCCGGGGCCCCGGAGCCGCCTGCCCGCTCGCCCGCCCTCCCGTCCGCGTCGGCGGTTTCTGACGCCACCGGAGGCGTGTCGGCGCGACCCGCGACGTCGCGACACGCCAACAATGGCGACTGCGTCAGCCTGAGCGGGCCCCAGTCGGCCAGCCAGCTCCAGACCGTGCCGCGCGAGCCGCGGGGACCGCGAGCGCCTCGGACCGGGTCGGCGGCGAAGGCGGCGGCGGCGCGCGTGCGCGTGCGCGCTCCTGTCACAGCCGGGGTCGAGCCGCGGCGCCGAGGCCCCGCGGAGCGAGCCAGGTGGGCGGCGGCGCGGCCAGGCGGCCAGCAAGCGGCGCGCGCAGCGGGCGGGAGGCGAGGGGGGCGGTGCGGGCGCCGGGCGGCCCCGATCTCCCGGGGGCTGCTGGGGCGCCGCGGGGAGGCGTGCCGGGGGGCGGCGGGCGCGGGCCGAGCGCGGCCGACCCTGCCTTTCTCTGTAGCCTCCGGCAGCATCTGGGCCTCCACGCTCGCCGGGATCGTCCCTTTCCTAAGTCGGCAACATGAGCGGCAACAACTTGGATGGGAACGACGAGTTTGACGAGCAGTTGCGAATGCAAGAACTGTACGGCGATGCCAAGGACGCTGACACCCAGAAGGAACCCGACGGACAGCCCGATTCTTTCGGGCAGCAGCCGGCTGACACCCCGTACGAGTGGGACCTGGACAAGAAGGCTTGGTTCCCCAAGGTAGGAGCGTGACGCGGGCGCCACTGCAGAGCGGGCCCTCCTGGCCAGCCCTCGCGGGGCGTCCCTTTTCCGTTTTCTTTGCTGAGTTCCCGAGTTAGCGCCCCCGCCCCCCCCTCCCCCGCCACGGGTCGCGACGTTTCTTTTTGTTGTGTCTGTTGCAGAACCGGTGTGTAGAGAAACGTAAATCGGTACGAGATGCCTTAAATGCAATTTAATTCTTAAGGTTCTTCTATGCCTTATGAATTTTGTCTGTGAAGGTCACAGTTGGTTATTGCATCGGTGACTGCTTTTTATTGTAAAGAGGAAACACACCAAGAGCAAATTTAGTAGTTGTTAATCTAACATAGGCAACCTCACTTACCCTAGGAAATTCAGATGTTTGTTCAGCTGATGTACTGTGTGCAAAATGCAGCTTCTTGGTTTTGGGGGGGGGGGGGATGGGGAAGTGGCCATTTGTATCTCTTTTTGGAGTCAACTTTGTAACTCTCCTTCCTATTGAATTGTGTCCCTAGACGTGTGTGTTTGAACTGAATAGCCACAGGAATAGGACTAGAGGGGCAAAGAATAGTTACCGAGATCTGTGTCGATTTGTGTAGAGTGCTTGGAAATTATCTTATCCCAGCTTGGAAGTAACATAACTGGTGTTAACTTTGTTCTGTAAACTTTTCGGTCGAAGTATCCTGTTAATCAAAGTCTCCTAGGGGTGGAAAAAAATACCAGAAGCACACGAATCAGCTTGCAGGCTGGTAATATAAACCGTGTCTCCACTGTGTAATTTGACTGTTATTCTTAAAATTACTTATTTCAACTTTTTTATTTTCCATTTTGTATTTGTGTATATATATTCCATTCCCTCAACCTTGTTGAATTTCTCATTTTGCTTGTATTGCGGTGCCAACGCCAGTGCAGATTTGGTTTCTGAGTACTTTTCACAATAGTCTGATCATGGATTCATTTGTGACTCTGTCTCTTTATGTTATGGAAGCCCATACCTCTTCAAACTTGGAGTTTTAAATGTGCATAACATTGATCAGAATGAAGATAGAACTCTCATTCCTTTCGTTGTGCGCCTGTGCTTCCCCCCCCCCCACCACCCCCCTAAAAGCCAGGAGGGTAGATGTGAGCTGAATTTGTTCTTAATTTGTTCTGGCACTAAATGATCGTGTGATTTCATTCGTGAAACAGTTAAAATAAGCATTTGGTTTTATAATTGTTAGCTTTATTCTCTGTGTAGCGAATCAGTCCCATTCTGCGTCCTCTCTGCGCGCAGATACTCAGATATTTGGTGTGCGTACACTTCTGTGTATCTCTGTAGCAAAAGAAAACTGGGTTCCGTTGTTAGATTCTTAGTTGACGGTTGGTTTTTGTTCTGTTTTATTGTTATCTGGTCCTTCCTTTGTTGTATGTACTTTAGCCTTCGGCAAGTAGACCGTAGAGAGGTAGTGATTTATAAATGAAACAACTAGAAACCGGGCCAACATCACTTAAAATGCCAGTAGTGTCTCAGAGTTTCGTGTTGATAACCCAAGTGCCCGTGTCTTTTTTTGTTTGTTTTTTTAATCATTTTAGGCACCTTTTCTGTGTAAGGTGACTCTTCTTGTATTTACACTGTAATCACTACAGCCCGTTATCTGCAGAAACACTTCTGGGTCCAGTTGTATAACCATGTTGCCATTTAACACAATGTTAAACTTTTTCTGGGAAGAAAACATTTTTGAATTTCTGTATGTGTGTGTGCTAAATTTTTTGTTTAGATCACTGAAGATTTCATTGCTACGTATCAGGCCAACTATGGCTTTTCTAACGATGGGGCGTCTAGCTCCACTGCAAATGCACAAGAAGCCACTGCCAGGACTGCAGAAGAACCTCCTCAAAGAAAAACCCCTGAACCCAGTGATCCCAAAAAGAGGGGAGAAAAGAGAAAGGCCGAATCAGGCAAGTGGATTTAACTTGCAAAACAGGAATGTGAAAATCTTTGATGTTAGTTATGTGCATATATAGTTACTGTTGGGAGAATAATACCAGCTTGAAGGAGGCATAAGATGAGGGCTTTTTAGTGATACGATTATTTGGGTTCATATATTGGCTCTCGCACTAACTCGTGGGCATTGGGTAGGCTGTTGCAGTTCTGTGCCTCAGTTTCCTCCTCTGCAAACTAGAGCTATTGCTAGGGGATTATCAAAGGTTTTGCTTGTAAGGTAATTTTGTTACACGTTTTGAGTTAAATTGAACTCAAGGCAATTTTGTCTCAGCTTGGCCTTGTCTAACACAGTAGATTGGAGTCAGAAGCAACTTACACATGCCCCAGCCTAAAGTCAGCTCAAGGATGAGTGTCATTTTAAGACAGTATGAGAAGCATAAAGAACCGAGATAACGAGCCATACTTTTTCAGACAGGGTTCTGAAACTGTGTGTCAAAAGATCCAGTACTTTGAAAGCTGGATTTCAAATCACTTTGAAAGTGATTTGAGTCAGTCTCTCTTGTGCTAAGGATAAGAAAAGAGTCCTGGAAGTTTCAAGAAACTGCCTGGTTTCATAGTGTGACTCTTACCTTTTCTTGCATGTGTTCTTTTTTTTTTTTTTTTTTTTTTTCATTTTTAGGATGGTTTCATGTTGAAGAAGACAGAAATACAAATGTATATGTGTCTGGTACGTATACCCTCAAACAAAGTTAGCAAAGAAAATACCTGGTTTTGAGATTTTTTTTTCCACAAAGTGCTCTTTAGTTTTCTGCTTTTCTAAAATCTGCTGGTTTTTTATCATTGTGTCACTTTTTTGTTCGACTGCTTGCGTTTGTGAGGAATTTGGCTTTTGTTAGTTACAGAGCTGAGAAAAATTAAGTTGTGTGTAACTTTGCATGCTTTGGGTCTGCTTTATGTAACTTACGACAGTTTGCCCCTTCAGCGATACAAGGCTTAAGCAAACCGTGATTTTAATGTATATTTGAATACATGAAAACATGAAATTTCCTCAATTCTGTAGCTGGGAGATTTTTTACATGCATTTAGAAAATCAAAATTGTGGGGCGTCCGGGTGGCTCAGTCGGTGAAGCGTCTGACTCTTGGTTTCAACTCAGGTCATGATCCCCAGGGTCATGGGATGGGAGCCCCGCATCGGGCCCTGCTGACTATGGAGCCTGCTTGAGATTCTCTCTCTCTTTCCCCCTGTGCCCCTCTCCCTGGCCCACTCTCGCTTTCGCTCTCTCTTTCTGAAAAAAAAAAAAAAAAATGGAAGTTATGTTCATCTGAGTTGTAGTTCTTTTTTTTTTTTTTTTTTTTTTTTTTTGAGTTGTAGATTTCTAGCTGCTGGAATGCTTACGTAGCCCTCACTGTCATTGTACATGCCTTTGTAATTTTTTTCCCCTCATGTTACAGGTTTGCCTCCAGACATTACAGTGGATGAATTTATACAGCTCATGTCCAAGTTTGGCATTATTATGAGAGATCCTCAAACAGAAGAATTTAAGGTCAAGCTTTACAAAGATAACCAAGGAAATCTTAAAGGAGATGGTCTTTGCTGTTATTTGAAGGTTAGTTATATGGTCAAGTTTCTCGTCGTTCCATGTGTAACTCAGGAACCAGGCCTGAGAACTATTCAAAACAGGATGCGAAAGAAAACTGAAATTTCAGATTGCGCCTGTGTGTATCGCGTTGGCGAGGTTATTGTTCTTTTAGGAAAGTACGTTACCAGGTCAAGGTGTTAGGTAAGTCCTGTGACTGAAGTGCTACTTTTGTCTTGAAAGGATTTTCACTGCAGAGATCTCTCTAGGAGTATAGGCATAAAGTCTGCTCAGAACACATTTTAAAAATCCACAAAGAAAAGAAAGCCAGTAACATTTTATTTGCCCCCTGGAATGAATTGGACCAAGGTTTGGCAGACTCCAGCCCCACTGCCTGTTTCTGTAAATAAAGTCTTACTGGGACGTGGCCACATTCATTCATTCGTTTCCTCATTTGTCTGTGGCTGCCTTCGGGCTCCAGCGGCAGAGTTGAGTGGTTGAGGCACACAGCACGTGGCCCACAAAGCCTAAAATATCGACCAGCTGGCCCTTTGCAGAAGTTTTCTGAGCCCTGAATTAGACCCTAAAGGAGATGGTGGGGTCCGCTTACTGCTTTGAAATGCATTTTCGATGGGAGCGAAGAGAGGGCGGTATTGATAGAAACTTGCAGAACTTGATGTGTCCGTGGTAGCATAAATTGTACAGGGAAAGCCCCACGTCAAAGGTAGTCATTGTTTCTGGAACGCCTCTCACCTTAGGGGCACACGTTCTGCATGACTGCAGGGTACAGAAGCAGTGGGCACATTGATGACCGGTACCCATGTCATGGAAGGGGAAAAATAATGCAGTAAAATCGTAGTGACCCAACAACAGTATCAACACCACACGTGTGTTGCGAGTGTGCAACATTTCAGTGAAATCAGACAGGGGGGAGGGGGAGGGTTAAGCTGACAGCTCTCCGGAAGATAGGTTTTGGGTCTGGTTCTTGAACGTGACGGGGTCATACGTGAGTATGACCATTATAGGCAGTTATTAATTTTCAAATACAAGGAGAGCTGAGGGTTTTACGAGTTCTTCAAGGGTTATTAAAAATCTGTAAACAGATTCTTAGAGTTTGATTGGATTTTCTTAAAAAAAAATTTTTTTGTTTATTTCTTTATTTCGAGAGAGACAGAGACAGCACGAGTGGGGGAGGGGCGGGGGGGGAGAGAAAATCCCTCTCTCTGCGCTGGCAGCGCGGAGCCCGACGTGGGGTTCAAAATCATGAAACCGCAAGATCGCGACCTGAGCCGAAACCAACAGTCATAAGCTTAACTGACCGAACCACCCAGGCGCCCCAGTTGGATTGGATTTTTCATTTTTTTTTTTTAAAGAGAAAAACGAGGTTTTGAGTAACTTTGTATATCCAGTTTTAGGATCCGTAACAGCGCAAGGTTGGCCAACCAGTAAATTAAGCTCCAAAAATCACTGTTCTGGGATCCGCATTTGATTGTGCAGCCGAGTTCAGTTACCTTTCGTGTCCTCCTCGGGTCCTCAGATCTTGGACTCTGTGTAGGGCCGCCGGCCGCCCCCTTTGCCCAGAACCCGCAAACGTATTCAATGTCCAAGCTGTCAGATAATCACCTTCACACTGTCTCACAGACCTCCATTTTAACTGGGGAACAAAAAAAGTAACGGCTGGCTGTGCTCTTCCCAGTTCTTGAGGCATCTAGCCTTTTAAGGAGGACTGTTTTAGGGGCGCCTGGGTGGCGCAGTCGGTTAAGCGTCCGACTTCAGCCAGGTCACGATCTCGCGGTCCGTGAGTTCGAGCCCCGCATCAGGCTCTGGGCTGATGGCTCGGAGCCTGGAGCCTGTTTCTGATTCTGTGTCTCCCTCTCTCTCTGCCCCTCCCCCGTTCATGCTCTGTCTCTCTCTGTCCCAAAAATAAAAATAAAAACGTTGAAGAAAAAAAAAAAATTAAAAAAAAAAAAAAGGACTGTTTTAGCATTTTAAAACTGGAAGTTACCTTAGAAGTCACGCGAGTCCATTTGCCTCATTGAGACATTGAGACTCCACGGGACAGCACTACTTACTATTCCAATAACGACGTGATTCATCGAGCACCCACTCCATGCCGGTCTCTGTCTCTTATGTGCATTCTTCCTCTTAATTATATCAAGCACCCTGCAAAGAAGGCATTTCTCTTCCCATTTTACAGATGAAGAAATTGAATACCTTGCCCAAGTTCACATAGCTGGTTGGGGGACAGCCGCGTCCAGAGTGCAGGTTTTCTCATACGGCATTCTCTCTGCTTCTTTACCTCAAAGGAGGTAGTTAGCGATGAAACCTTGATTGTGTGTGTAGTCCTCATTCACCAAGAAAAGCTCCCGGAGGTTTCGGGGGAGTGTGCAAATTCCTGACTGTCTCATTTTACCTTTATAAAGAGGGAGTCCGTGGATCTCGCATTAAAACTTTTGGATGAAGATGAAATTCGAGGCTACAAGCTACATGTCGAAGTGGCAACGTTTCAGCTGAAGGGGGAATATGATGCCTCAAAGAAGAAGAAGAAGTGCAAAGACTACAAGAAAAAGCTGTCTCTGCAGCAAAAGTTTGTGGTTTTGTTTTCCTTTTTGAAAGATTTCTTGTAAATATCCGAGAGCACGTTTTTGGTAGAGCCACCTAGTTTTCTTCCATCAAATACGCCTCTGAATTATTGCTTAATTAGATTGTCAGAAGGCTTCGGTGATCTGTGCGGTAGGATGACCTGGCCGTGCTTTTATCTTCTGGTGTGTTTATCCGTAATACAACGTGGGCTTGAGTGAGAGTCTTTGGACGAAGTTGAACATCGGATTAAATAAAGCAGTTGAGGTTGCTATATCAGAGCCAGTAGTTCACTTTTGGTGCGAATGGACATCAGCTACACTAGGAGGTAACGCGGTATGTGTAGGCTATGGGCTCATTGATAGGCGTTGGAAATTAGAAACGATGGCTTTTTAGAAAAATTTTTTTTAATGTTTATTTTTGAGAGAGACACACAGAGCAGAGGAGGGGCAGAGAGAGAGGGAGACACAGAATCCGAAGCAGGCTCCAGGCTCTCAGCTCTCAGCACAGAGCCCGACACAGGGCTCGAACTCACGAACCGTGAGATCATGACCTGAGCCGAAGTCGGACGCTCAACTGACTGAGCCACCCAGGCGCCCGAGGAAACAATAGCTTTTATCACTATATTTACTGTGTGGTTGTCCGTGGTGTATACGTGATGTCATCAAATTGCTACCACTCTAATTGGCTGGGTAATATGCTTTTTGAAATCTTCTAGTTTTAAGAAGTTAGCCAAAAGGATAAGTGCTTTGTTTTCTCAGAGTGCGTTCCGATAACACTTCTAACACTACGCTCAAACCAGCGGTAAAAGGATCAAGGAAGCATTTAGTTGTGATGTCCTAGCGTTTTTACGGGAACAGGTGGACTAAATACCTACCAACTTTCTAAAAACTGTCAATAAAATTTAAGGTTGTAACAGATTTTATGTTCACATATTTCATTGCATTTTGTTCTTCGCAATCACAAAACGGCTAAAAACCAATATGATTTGAACACGTTTCTTGCCCTCGGAGCATAGTCCGTAAATACTGGATAGTTATAAATGCTAAATAGCCAGCACTTTTACAGGAGTCTCAGTGGAATGTTTGTGACCAGACAGCAGTTCTGAAAAAAAGATACATCCTGGGGATTTCAAGACACTGGGTCCGTCTTTGACCCACCCATTATTTTTACTTTAGAGAGTTCTCTGAATAGGACTGTTGTTGTGGAATCACATCTTTAACGTCCTTAAATACTCCGTAGAGGATTACTGTAACAAGTCCTCATCTTCTCTCCCACAAGTATGAAACAAAATTTCGTACGAGTTTCTCGTACGAAACAAAATTGAGTTTCTTGTTACTGCTTTGTTGCACCAGGCAGCTGGACTGGAGACCCGAGAGAACAGCTGGCCCGTCCCGAATGCGCCACGAACGAGTTGTCATCATCAAGAATATGTTCCATCCAATGGATTTTGAGGTAAGAGGCGGTATTCTCACTGACGGAGACGCTGGTTGTGCTGTTTGTCCCCAAGGGAACCCAGAGCTCCCCTCGCCCCGTCTGTCTCGTGCCGCGCCCTCCGCGTCCACGCGGTCGGCAAGGTAGGAAGACGGAGCCAAGAGTCCCCCGCAGTGTTCGGATTTTCCCGTGGTTAGCCTAGGGCTCCCTTAGCTGTCTCCCAGGGGACGCCCACACTGCGGCTGCAGGTGGCAGCTCCCTGCTTACGGGAAATCATTAAAAATATAATCACGGAAAGATTTCCGGGCGCTGCTTGTAGATTCTGAGCGCCGTCCGGCAAGTGCGGGCTGCTCTGGGTGGGGCGTCATTTCACACCCGGAAATGAGCACCTGCCTCGCTTTGGTACTGGAAGTCTGATCCTTCAAGAAACGTCAGGTTAAGGAAGTACAGCTCCTGGTGTTGACGTAGGGAAGGTTTGTTCTTCCAGACGCAACTCGGACAGAATTGTTCCGTGGCCATCAGGAGGACTTTGCAATACCTAACGCCCGTGTACAATTCTAAGAACCGCAAATAAACATAGCCTCGCCAACTGGGCCGCCTCGTGCCGCGTCCCGCCTCCTGTTCTCATCGTCTCCTTGTGTAGACCCGTGGGCTCGTTTGTGAAAGAACTTTTCTTCGTTCCCTGCCTGGGTTCTGAAAGTCATGATAACCAGTTACACATAAGGTAGAGAAAGGTGACAGGTAAAAAGGTAAGCAAACGGAAAGATAACAAGCTACAGAAGAAGAAAAAAAAACGTTCATAACGTAAAACTCCAGGTTGACAAATGATCCAGTTGCAACCAAAGCCCTTCTGTGCATTTAAACAGAATGGCCCTTTCATTGTAGCCCCCTCCGAGAGGACCCCGGAATGGTCTGTTGAGCTCCAGCCCAGCCGATAGCGATGTGACGGGGTTCACTGTGCACCTGTGGGGTCTGCGTATCTTTTGAGATCATTCGGGAGACACATGCGGGCAATACGTAACGTTTGATGTCTCTTCTGAGTAGAATTCTGGAGAAGCTTGAAATAGAGCAGAACTGCTTCAGGCTTGCAGTGATAATGGCGAATGTTTAAAAACCACATGTGTATACACGCACGCTCTTCGAAACACTCTACCTAAAAAATACTCTTTGGTATCCGGGTGAACAATGTGAAGACTAAGATATTTAATGTAACTTCAGAGGGTCTCCAGTATTTTATTCAAAGCCTTATTTATTTATTTATTGGTTTGTTTTTTCCAAAGCCTTATTTAAAAATGCATGTCTGGAGGCACCTGGCTGGCTCAGTCAGAAGAGCGTGTGACTCTTGAGCTCCGTGTGGTGGGTTTGAGGCCCCATGTTGGTTGTAGACATTATGGAAAAATAGATAGATAGATAGATAGATAGATAGATAGATAGATAGATAGATAGAGGCACCTGGGCGGCTCCGTTGGTTAAGTGTCTGACTCTTGATTTCAGCCTAGGTCATAACCTCATGGTTCGTGAGTTCAAGCCCCACATCAGGCTCCGTGCTGACAGTGTGGATCCTGCTTGGGATTCTCTGTCTCTCTCCTCTCTCTGCCCCTCCCCTGCTCACACACGCTCGCTCACTCTCTCTCTCAAAAAATAAATAAGTAAATAAATAAATGCCTGGCAAATTTGAATACTAGGAGATGACGAGTCAAAATCTCGATGCAGATGTAAGTTTCTCATTATGTATACCAGCGCTGTCCAATAGAAATAGAATGTGAGCCACATGTGTGATTTAAATTTTTCTGGTAGCCACAGTTAAGATATAACATGAGGGGCGCTTGGGTGGCTCAGTCGGTTGAGCGTCCCGACTTCAGCTCAGGTCATGAACTCGCAGTTTGTGAGTTCGAGCCCCGCATCGGGCTCTGTGCTGACAGCTCGGAGCC